GGGAATCAAGGTGAGGGGTCAGGGGGGGGAAAAAAACGAGCACATATAGGCGATCGGCGGGCTATGAAACACCCGGGTGTGTGCATTGATCGGGTCTTTTCTGCCCGTGCGTGCCCGCTAGGGGGCGCGCGCGAGCAGAAAAAAATTGCCGTCTGGAGACGGCAACCCGCAGATGCAGCAGTGCCGTCCGTCCGTTTTTTTACTACGGCGGACGGCAAGAGGTTAAAAAACAGGTGAGACTTTAGTTGGGCTTTAAATGCTTTCTGTCCTAAGAAATTCCATCCAGGCCACCTCATTATAAGCAGATTGGCTATCCTGTTTTGGTACTTACAAGGCACTACCTAACAGAGCTATGTTTTTTGTACTGACAATTGCAACTGAAGCCTCCAACAGCTTTATTCTTATTCTTTTCTATTGTGGCTGTTCACATCTCTAAGCTTAGTTGCTTGAAGCACAAAAAGGTACAAGAGCTTTTTGTTTTTTTTTACCCCATAGACTTCAATGGAAACACCTGTAAGTGTGTGACACACTGGTTTATGTGCATTTTTGTACATTTGTGCAAGAGGGATGCAAAAAAAAAAAAATCAACAAAATGCATTTTTTGCATGTTTTTGCATCTGAAGAACTGGTATCTTCCATTTCCATTGACCCCAACAAAACAGCCTGAAGCTTGATATATTTGTAAGATGGGCTCAGCTGACATGCACCCACTGTTCTCTCTAGTGCTGCTGTGAAGGAGTGGTGATATTGGGCTATGGAAGTTACTTGCAAAACCACTTGCACAAAGCTCAAAAACACTTTAAAAACATGCATTTATAGGTGTAAAAATGTGTCAAACAAAGTTTAAAAATTGCCAGAAATATGCTCTGCTCACGTGTGAATGCAGACTAAGGTTTAAAAAACTGCACATATTGGCAGTATTTCTAATATGTGTATGTATGTATGTATGTATGTGTATATATATATATATATATATATATAACTTTCTTATTGGACTAACATACTATTCAAAACACAAGCTTTCAAGAGTTAACTTACCTCTCTTCTTCAGGTCAGAAGCAATACTAATCAACATCACCGAGCTTACCACTTAAAGCAAGAGAAAGTTATTAGAGAAAGAAGAGGGGTAAGTGGGGCGCCATAAATGTTGGACCTGGGAGTGAAAAGTGCATCCTGATAATCAAAGGCTAGAACAAAGGGACATTATGATGTTCTGTATATTCATAAAAGTGTGTCAGAAAACCAGAATCCACATTAAGTTCCTCCTTTATGGTGATGAAATGTATTAGCTTCTGATGTGAAGAAGAGAGGTTACATTAACTCTCGAAAGCTTGTCTTTTGAATATTATGTTAGTCCAATAAGAAAGGTATCATTGCACACTGCAATACTCTGTGTTTTTTTACATCTTGTCTACTGGACTAATACGGCGCCTAAAGAAGCAAGTGATCAAACTGTTTAGAAAAGAAACTCAGATCAACAGTGACATTTTTTCTTACTCATTGTAAGAAGATTAACCTCATCCCGAAGAGACTCACTATGAAGAACCCACTCTCAACTATTCACAACTCACCAGCAGCTGAGAACATCTGCAGACGTAGCAGTGAGAAACGACGTAACCTCCTAATTCATCAACTGTGTGGAAAAAGACAAAGATTACACTGCCAGAGACAATCCCTACTCCAGAATCGTCTACAAACAAATCACACCTAAAACTAAAAATTAGAAATGCAAATGGACTATTTCTACAGGAAATACAAAAGAGACTCATCAATAAGAAAAAGAAGAAGCTGGCAAGCCTTGCACAGAACAAAGACAGCTAAGAAAAAAGATTACCCAATTTCACGTCATCCTCTGTAACTGTCCCTATCCAAGCTGAAGTGGTCAACCACCATGAAAGTGGCACAGTCAATACTGTTAACTTCTCAAACCATCACCTCACAACTAGAGATGGGAAGGGCTGGAAAAATCCCAGAAATTTTTGGGTAAAACCTGTTTTTTTCCAAAGCCGTTTTTGTTTTTTTCCAGAAAAAAATTAAATAAAAAAAGGAGTGTGAAGTATGTTCTTTTACAATGATAAATAATATATCTTTGACATGGTATTAAAACTATATAACATGAAGACCTTAATGAGAGATTCCTGAGACTTTATGTAAAGTTTTAAATTGTTGCACATTCTCTCAGCTGAAGACAAGCAAATCCAGGAATACAATTCAAGTAACACTGTACTATTCAATGCACTTCTCACACTCAAAAAGAAATATGCATTTCTGCCACTAGGGGCACTGCAGAGGAAAGGCTCCAGTTTAGTTAGCTTGTGGGCTCTAGCTTGTACTTCCTACAGTTGGGTGATTGTTGGTATGATAGTAGATGATAGTTTCTGCCCTCTCAGGCCTTCATTGACAGGTAACAGAGTACAATGTGTCTGACAAATTAGTTTATCTTTATAACCTTTAAATGATTCCTAATTATGTTCTACACCATCACAGTATAATGTATATAGTGTGGTCAGTAAACAGTTTTTTTATCCTCCCCTCAGTAAAATGGTGAGACCAAGATCTAGAGTTTGGAAACATTTCCACAGTGCAACTTCTGCTGAGAGCAAAGCTGCAATTTGCAAATATAAAATACAATTTTAAAAGGCAAGTTTAGTTTATTTACTGAATAAGCTGTACTTTTATTTCAAGCATAATACTTTTATACACACTGCATTTCACTGTCCTAGTGTAACAAAATGACTTTCCATTTGTAAAAATATTCCACAGTGACTGAATTTGTTTTCAATTTTCCCCAAAATTTCCATCTGTTCCAGACAAAAAAAACAGGGAAATTTTTTTTCTTATGGCTTCAAAGTTTCCAGAAATGTTACATCTCTACTCACAACTCAGAAAACAGCAGTCCAAACCAAGGGGCTTACATTTTGTCCAAGCACCAAACTGGACCACATGCAATTATACTCAGACTTGGAGGAATTTTTTAGAAGACTGAGGCGTGAGGAATTTTTCACCTGCAACTGGACGTTAGCAAAATTTACATCTGCAACTGGACGTAACATCAAGTTGGACAATTACATTGAAAGCTTCCACACAAGAATAGCATCCCTTGTTACCACACAACAAAAAAAAACTACAGACAACCTCCTACCTCCAGAAAGAAAGGCCCGCAGAAGTGGTTAAAACAAGAACTTGTGTTCTTGGTACTGCTTTTAACCAGCGTCTGTACAGCCGCCAGATCGTTTGTACCGTGCGACGCCCCCCCTCCCCCCCACAGCGGACGCCGTTGACTTCCCCGGGCACTGCTATCCCCGTTAGGCCCCATTCACACTGAGCGATTTATGGAGCGATTTTTGCAGCGATATCGCTCATATTTCCACGCGATATCGCTCTATGTAGCTTCTCCAATCCATTTCAATGGAGCTGTTCACATCTCGTCGCTCAATATCGCTCAATATCGCTCAATATCGCTTGTAGCTCGTCGCTGGTAGCTTGTCGCTCCTACATGACCCTTTTTTAGAGCGATTTCTAGCGATATTGCTCCTGATTGCATACAGCCCAATAGGAAAAAGTCGCGCGACATGTCACTCAATATCGCTCGTCGCGCAATATCGCTCAAAATCTCGCGATTTTCATGTCGCTCAGTGTGAATGGGGCCTTATGCGCCCGGGAGCGGTTCGGCCGGTCTCCCCCCAGTGATTGCAGAGAGATTCAGCGGTATATAAGAGTGCAGCACTGGAAATGTGCTTGAAATGCGGAGAGGCTCATTGTGACCCTAAACAGACAACAGACCACAGACATAGTGTTACATGTCCCATGGGTGGGACATATAGGATTGGATGCCACTTACTGGGAAGTGATTGCCATCCAAATGGAATTTAACCTCATGTATACACAGAGGTCTATACCAGTGATGGAGAACCTTGGCACTCCAGCTGTTTTGGAACTACAAGTCCCATGAGCCATTGCAAGGCTCTGACAGCCACAGACATAACTCCCAGAGGCAGATGCATCTTGGGATTTGTAGTTTTGGCACAGCTGGAGTGCCAAGGTTCGCCACCACTGGTCTATTCTATACTCTGGGCAAGAGGGTCAGAAGGAGTCTCTCGGGATTTCAAGCATTACACTCAAATATATTTATTTGTGGACTATGTATCATCTTGGAGCTAGCAGCTCTAGAAAGAGAACATTTGAGCATGGATTATATTTACCTTTTTGCATCTCTACTAAAATGTATATTTGGTCACACCAATTTAAGGAAATCATTTGGCCACTATACAAGCATAAAAAAGGATGTCTTTTTTTGAATTTGTGTTAGAAGTCATACCTAGGGCTTTTTGGAAAGCAATATTGTATTGTACAGTACTTTAGTGCAGGAATTTTTGGTTCATTTGATCTACTTCCCCATCAGCTGAATGACTATTTTGTTTTGAAGAAATTAACAAACCTTTGTGAATTTTCTTGATTTGCAGTTTTAGTGATTGGTTTTCAGTTTTTATAATTGCCAACAGGTGGCAGTGTTAACATATAAAAATGCAAATGGATAAACCTGTTCCACTGGTCACATAAGGACAAGTTTTCTCTTGGATCATCATGAGACTGTAAGTGGCATGAAATGTTTTGTCTAGCAGGACAGTCCTAGACATATTGTGTTTTATCTGAGTTTTCAAAGCTAAACCCTATTTTCCAGTGTCTTGTGATTTTGAGCGCAAAACTGACAACCTAATGGTAGATCAGGCAGTTTTGTTTGTTTAAAGTTCAAAGCTTTGATCATCTGTTAAAAAGCAAATGATAAAATAGATGATTTGATTGAATATGCCAGAATTGTCTAACATTTAAAGTCTACCTTTGAGCGCAAGCAATGCTCTAAAATGGTTACTGTTTCCAAAAAATAAAGTCCTTTTTTAGGCCTCATTCACACGAGAAAAAGACGGCACGTACAGCTCCGTGCTGCGTGCACGGCCGTATCGGGAAGCTCCCGGAAAGGACAGGGTGTGATTAGTATGCAGCCCCTGTCCTTCTCTATGGCAGTACGCGGCCGTACACCATATAGGGACTGGAAAGTCAAGCCATGCTATAAACAGGTGTGCACAGTCCCCAGGTACACTGACCAAATAGGAGGAGCAATTAAGCAAGTGTGTAAGTTTCCAGGGTAGTGCAACAATATATATGTGAGTGGAGACATCTCCGAATATGTGTTCTGTGTGTCCCCAATCTAGTCAAAGGAGTGTGTGTCCCCAATCTAGTCAAAGGAGTCATAGGATTTACAGAAAACAAGCAAAACGTAGTGAGGCCCGTTGGAGGCAGCTTTGCATATTGCTGTATTTGCATTGTAGCAATATTTTGTGTATATACTATGTAGTCTATCCCTGAAGGTAGAGCCTTAGGTTTCTTTTCCCAAGTTTTCTCCTTTCTGTTTCATCTGTTGTTTACAGAGCTCAGTAGCTTACAGTGAAATTTACACCAGTGAATGAGCCAATCAAGTGATTAATTCCATACTAGACCACACAGCTTCAGCTGAGGTTTGACTCAAACAAGCCAATCATGTGTGTATAGTGCTCTGTGATTAGAAAATTCATAATGCTCTTTAAAATATATATATATATATTAGGCCTGCGGAAATTAACGATTAATCCCATGATTAATCGTAAATTTTTTTGATTGATCAAAATTCTTTTGATCGGTACTCACCTCTCCGCAGCTTCCGGGTCTTCCGAGAGTTCCGTCGGAGATCCGATGACGTCACGGACATCGACGTCACCGGACACCTCCCCCTTCCCCAAGTGGCTCCATCGGCTAACGTAGGGAAGGGGGGAGGAGTCCGGTGACGTCGATGTCCGTGATGTCACCGGACTCCTCCTTCCCTTCGTTAGCCGAGAAGTTCCGCCTGTTTGGAGGGCCCAGAGTGGAAGCAGAGGGCCCGCAGCTCCTTCATGCAAATCACCCTCCCTCCCCCGTCGCTCTGCCACCCGTAGCAGTAGAATGTACGGGCAGCTGTGCAGGGAGAGGAGGCTGTGTCGGTCACCGGTCATCAATCAGCTGTTGGGAGAGGACCCTCTGGCCGCCGAGATGAAGCAGCTGCTGCAGGAGTCAGGTAAGGCTGGGTGAAGGCTAGATGGGGAAGGGGGGGTTTAAACTGGTGGGGGGACCACTGCACAGCACAAAGGTATTTTTTTTAAACATATGCCTGCAATGTACACCAAGTGTACATGAAGCAGGCATATGCCGTTGCTGTATATGAGCAAAGAAAGGTGCAATGTTTGTTAGCTTTCCTCTTTATATTTCATGGAAATGGCCACCTCTGCAACTGAGCTCTCTCTGAGATCTCTCTCTACCCACCATAGTATTTACAGTGCCCCCCTCACCCCAGGATAGTGTATTGTGTACAAGGTAGAGCTGAAAAGCTAAGAATATGTTTCACAAGAATATTTTTAGGTATGCTGTGTGAATGGGAACACAGACAACATATAGCTTGGGTTTCTCAAATTTGACTGAAAAGGTGGAAATGCACTTTAACCAGTTGACATCCGCGGTGTTAAACCCCCTTCCCATCCAGGCCATTTTTCAGTATTCAGCGCTGCGGTACTTTGACTGACATTTATTCCGTCATGCAGCGCTGTACTGAAATGAATTTTATACCCTTTTTTGGGGACAGATAGAGCTTTCTTTTGGTGGTATTTATTCACCACTGGGGGTTTTATTTTTTTACTATATTAAGGAAAAATTACCGAAATTTAAAAAAAAAAACAGTTTCCCCTATATTAAATGATAAAACATTTATTATTACCCAATTTTTTGGTAAAATATAAAAGATGGGGTCACGATGTACTCTGCAGGTAGAAGGCAAAGTATTATTGATGCTATACAGCAGGCATCGCAAGCTGCTAGCTCCTACCTGCACATAGCATCCTCATCGCAAAGCTGGAGTCACCTGAAAATTCTATCCATACCAGTTTCCTAAAAGTTTGTATTTGCATACGGCAAGGCATATATCCACCCTATGTAAAGGTGTACAAGCTTATCAATAAATTACACAAGACATTGGGCATGTGCGCCTTGGATGTATGGATTTTCAAAGGGTTTGAGTGGTCCACTCAGTCTTTGAAGGTAGCCAGGTGCTCAGAGCTTCCATCACCATTATTCACGCCATACATGGCTCGAATTTCAGTCAATACTCACTGAATCAGCCAACATTTGCATCGTAGGTGACCCTGTAAGCACCCCTTCAGCTTGACAAAAGTTGATTTAAATGCCGCTGTGCCAGGTAAAAATTTCTTGACCAAACAGTGATTGCATCTGATGTAATGCAGTCACTGTTCAGTCGAGAATTTTCTATATGTCTCAATACAACATCCGGCAGTGGAGGTTCCTCCATCCATGCTGTTTAGTGTGGATGAGGGAATCAAGTGATTTTCTTTCACTCAGGTCACAGTCCGATGAGAGAAAATCTACATGTACAGTACTGTGAAAAGTTTTAGGCAGGTGTGAACAAATGCTGTAAAGTAAGAATGCTTTCAGAAATAAAAGTGATAGTTTATTTTTTATCAATTAACAAAATGGAAAGTAAATGGACGGAAGAGAAATCCAAATCTACTCAATATTTGGTGGGACCTCCTTTTGCCTTCAAAACAGCATCAATTCTTTTAAGTACACTTGCACACAGTTTGTGAAGCAACTCGGCAGGTAGGTTATTCCACACATCTTGGAGAACTAACCACAGATCTTCTGTAGATGTAGGCTGCCTCAAATCCTTCTGTCTCTTCATGTAATCCCAGAAAGATTCGATGATGTTCAGATCGGGGCTCTGTTGGGGCCAAACCATCACTTCCAGGACTCCTTCTTCTTCTTTACGCTAAAGATAGTTTTTAATGACATTGGCTGTATGTTTGGGGTCGTTGTCCTCCTGCAGAATAAATTTGGGGCCAATCACATGACTCCCTGATGGTATGGCATGATGGATAATTATCTGCTTGTCTTTCTCGGCATTGAAGACACTATTGATCCTGACCAAATCTCCAACTCCATTGGCAGAAATGCAGCCCCAGACTTGCAAGGAACCTCCTCCATGCTTCACTGTTGCCTGCTGACACTCATTATTGTAATGCTCTCCAGCCTTTCAGCAAACAAACTGCTTTCTGCTACAGCCAAATTTCCACTAATCAGTCCAGAGCACCTGCTGCCATTTTTCTGCGGCTTTGTGGCCAAAAAGCCATACCTACGACATGGAAACAAGGCTAAGCAACTCAACTATGCGCGAAAACATAGGAACTGTGGTGCAGAGAAATGGCAGGGTGTTTGTACCATCCACCTTGCTACACTACAATGTTTTCCTACAGTCATCATCACCCTCGATATATTGCAATGTTTTTCTACAGTAGCTGTCACCATTTCTAACCCTCTTTTTTGCTATAGATCAGGTTAAATTATCTGATTAGTTCTAAAAACGTTTGCAGAGAGGAAAACAGGTATACACAACTCTTTTAATTGCCAGTTGCTGGTGATAAACAGTAACAGAAGAAGACATCTGCTGGTGGAATCTGAAAACACACCATAAAGGTGGCCATACACCTTACAACCATCGCAAGATTTATCTCCCGAGCATGCCACAAACCCGCCGACAATCGTACGATTCTCGGCGGGTTTTCAAACATGCTCATTAGACAAAAGACGTGCGACCATACATTAGAAACGGTCGCACGTCTTCCATACACCTTGCGATTATCGTATGATCGCGGGATTAAGAATAATCAAGGCTCAATGTCATCCACAGGAGTGTTGGACGAAGCATGGAGTATTCAGGGAAAGATCAGGGACTACAGAAAAAGCTAGCTGGTATTGCTAGCATTAAATGCTTGATTGAATGGGAGGGGTTTGGGTGAATGGGGTTGTGGTTTTGAAGTGCTGTGGTCCACTCTGTTTTGACTTTTTATTAAACTTTTAAAACAATGCAGTGTTATTGACGTACACATACAATATTATTAAACTGTTACATCACAGACAGTTTGTAGGAAGCTGAGGGTCTAAGCTTTATTTTTTTTACAGAGTACAATTTGCAATATCTTTTACATCTATTGTGAATGCAATTCACACCTGGACACACACGTTTCAAGCATTTTTGCCTGTTTTGTGGCCTGCTTTGTCGCACAAAGTTTACCAAAGTGCGCTGCAATCTGCCAAAAAGTGGTTCATGTACTTTTTCCAGCAACAGACATTTTTATGCTTTCGATGAAACGCTCAGATGTGGACAGGGGCCAGAGAAATGAATGGGATTCCTTGGCATAAGCATTTTGTTGCACTTAGGACAAGCAAATGAGAATCCTTTTCTTGAGCGTTTTGTCGTGCTTACCTTTAAGCAACAAAGCGCCTAGGTTTGAATGGGAACTTAAGGACACCTGTTGTGAGATAAATGTAGAGGCTGCCATTGTTGACTTCTGGAAGTGCTAGCTCCCTGGCTTTCATGCTTGTTTAATCACTGCTTTCTAAGTCACTGACTTGGAAGTCACAGAGAAGTTGGAACTCCTGATCTGCATGATTGTTTGAGATCAGTTGGGAATACAATAGCTGCAGTGGGTAATTCATCTATCCACACTGTTTAGCATTGATTGAGGAATCAGATTTTTTTCATTGAGTCGTTTAAACCAAAAAAAAAATCTAATAGTGCATGGCCAGCTTAAAGTAAACCCGTTAAAAACATGAGCTATTCAAACTGAACATATGAAAAAAAATACTTTAGCAGTACAATCCACAGGTCATTCCAGAGAATAAAAAAATAAAGGCAGCTGAAGTTAAATGCAAATTATCACTTTTGCTATAAAAGTCAAGTGGGCCCTACCCCCTTTACCTTCACAGCCTCCCTATTGGGCCTTTAATATGGTGGACAGCCTCACTGACCAACAGAGATGCTAGGGAAGAAGAATGAGCAATATTAGGAAAATGCCTGCTGTTAAATAATGTTAAAGTACATTGCACTAGGCCGCAATAAATGTGTTACATTGACCAATGCTTAAAAGTAAATACAGTGTAAAATAACGACAATACGGGATGTTCAGATACCAAGTACCAAATACTTAGTACAATCACAAGTACTGATACTATTCCAGCTCCAAGACTAGACTAGAGAAAAACTCAAAAGTTAGGAGGCAGCTGTCACACAATTACTGAATTTTAGATTGTAAGCCCTCAGGGGCAGGGCCCTCCTAACCATCTTGTCTTGAATTGTATTGTAATTGTAATGTCTTCCCTATATTGTAAAGTGCTGCACAAACTGTTATATAAATCCTGTATAATAATAATAATACATTTTTGTTTAGTGTCATGTGACAGTTTTTATAAAACAATACAGACTAATGATTTCAGGACAGTGGTGGAGCGCCAGAGCCCAGTCACAACTGCAACTCTGGTAGTTCTCGTGAAAATGCCAAGTATTGGCACAGGTATTTGAACCGGTATCTAAACATCGCTAGTGAAAATGATTTTTACATCCTGGGAATAGAGTAGCGTAAAATGTGTTTCTGGTTTAGTGGCTCATTAAGAGTCAAGTAGTTTTTTGGTACCTAAGGATATAAATACGTTTGTAATCTTCTCAAAGCAGAGATTGCTGTATTGTGCGTTCCAGGAGTGTGAATATACTGTAGCAGGATGTCACTTCTTTCTTGATGGACTTTGCACACTGTGTTGCTCTGTTTTGCTCAGCATTCTGCTAAGCCTGTCCTTGTTTTTATGAACAAGATCTTGTCCTTATCTATGTATCTGCTGTAGGCACTTTTGTTGCACAAGCTGCTCCTAACGTTTCACTGTGGAGTCTCCTAGCTTCTGGCCTGGAGACCATCTGCTCCTTTTTCAGTGATACCAGAATGATTGACCTATGTTTTGCTTTGGAAAAAAAAAAACTTTTTGGGCTGATGCTTCACAAAGTAGATTTACCTTCAATCACCATTTATTAAATCTCCATCCATTAAAAACCATAGCTTGCTCGAGCTGCGTGCATTAAGCCTGATTATAGAGGCTGTAGCAAGGGGGATGGGATGCAGCAGTCTGTACCCATGTGTTGCTCAGTTTGTTCCCTCTTTATGATAGCTTATTCCCTGCTAGCTATGCCTCTTCTACTCTGGGATTTCTCATTAGAATTATCATGTCTTTTTCTTTAGGCTTTGACATGTTTTGTAGCACTCTCCTGAGCTGCAGGTCCTTGGAACTGTAGTTTAGACTACATGAATGACTATAAAGTTCTCCTTAATGGCCTAGTGCTGCTAGATTATTCATGGAGGGGAAAGGGCAAGGGGGGAAAAGACCTGTTGGATCTAGAGGAGGAAAGCTCTCAGGTTCTTTAAGAAGGATGAGCGGATCCTTCAAACGCACATCACTAAAGGGCTCATCTTCTGGATCTCAAAAGGTATGTCTTTATATTGTTATACAGTTTAACTGAAGTGCCGTATGTATGTAATGTGAACATTGCTGCTAGTTTTCACTGCGTGCTAAATGTATGTTAAAAAGTAAAACACGGTCTAATATCTATTGAATACATTGAATTGTATTCAACTTTTTTTTTAGCCATTGACGTATTTATTTAAACTCCTAAAATGCTTGGGTTTCTATTTTAATACATGCTGGTCTATAAGACCTGTAGAAATGAAGAAATGTATAGTTTCCAATAAATTACTGTTGATCTGTTTCTATAAATGAGAGATAACCCTGCTTAGTTCCCACAGTCAACAACTTTGCTTTGGTTCTCCATTTCTGAGAGCAGTTCAGTTTGTAAACAGGATTTATATATTATTATGTATATCTTCAGGAAGATTATTTGGCAATAAATGTATTATTACAACCAGTTTAACCTTTTTTCTTGTGCAGACTGCCACAATTGACTGTATCTGTCCAACAGAGAAACTGTTTTTCTACCTGCCTTGTAAAATTGAATTGTTCAAATGTTTGTTATATATTATAGCTGAAAAAATTGCAGTCCATTACATTTTCTATTTACTGAGATAGACGAGGCACACTAAGCACCAGATAATGTAATATGTAAAGAGAAAAACAAAGTAAAATGGTCATCAAAGATTTACATGAGCTTTCCAATTTTACTAACTGGCGGGCACTAGGAAGTTCTTGCGGCATGTTAAATATTTGTAACATCTACACAGCATTTCAGCAATATTGTAGGCCTCAGGGCACACATAACACAGCATTACACAAAGTATATACAACACAGCACTAGATTAACAGAGCACACATAAAACAGCAATGCACCTAAAGAGCAAACACAACACAGAACTGCGCTCACATTGCAAACATCGTAAAGAACTATACTCACAGAGCACACATATCACAGCAGTGCATTCACAACACACATGACACAACACTACACTCACAGATCAAACCGCACAGCACAACAGCGTTCCACTCACAGAACTCTCATATAACACAGCACTATACTCACCGAGCACACATAACCTAGAATTGCACTCACAGAACATTCACAACATTGCACTTGAGGAACACACACATAATGCATTACTATGCTCACAGATCACACATAACACAGAGTTCCACTCAGCACATATAAGAACACAACATTATAAAAGTATAAATGAGCTGCGCTAACGTGCCACAAATAAACATCTAAGAAAGAATAATATTCATATACTAGACAATCAAATTCAAAGTGCCACATTGCAACAACACAACATTGCACTCACAGAGCACACATTACACCGCATTGGACTCACAGAGCACATATAATACAGCATTGCAGTCACAGAGCACACAAAACACACCAATGCAATCACAGAGCACGCAAAACACAACATTGCACTCTCCAAGCACACATAATGCATTACTATGCTCACAGATCACACACACAGCGCTCTAAACAGCACATATAACAACAAAACATTGCACTCAAAGAGCACACATTACACAACATTGCACTCACAGAGCACACATAACACAACATTGCTATCACAGAGCACACAAAACACAACATTGCAATCACAGAGTACACATAACACAGCATAATACAGATCACGTATAAAACAATACTAAGCTCAAAGAGCACAAATAACACAACACTACACGAGCAAACCACACAAATACAGCACTACACTAACAGACCACTCATATACATTGACATTATGCAAATTTCAGCTCAAAGAGCATCTTTCGCATATAATGAACTGACTCTTTTTCTTTCCCCCCTGACTCTTATAGACTTGCAGACACGATTGTTACCTTTGTTGTGTTGAATACTTTTTTTGATATATACTGTATATGCATATATTATTGGTGTGGCCTACCACTTCCTGTAACCTCGACCAAGGCATGACCGATGTGGTATTGCCCCTGCAGCCTCCTGGGATAGCCACACCACACATCTAGGGTTGCCACCTGTCCAGGATTCACCTGGACAGTTCGGGTTTTGAATGCTGTGTCCAGGTTTCATGGCACCAGAAACCCGGACACAAGGTGTCAGGTAGACGGGGGCAACCAAAATTAAGATAGGGGCTACTGGCCCCCCACTGAAAATAGTCTCAACTGTGATATTTACATATTAATGGGTGGTTCCTTTTACATATGAATAAGCTGCGACTCATTCTCCCAAAAAAATATGTCCACATGTCGCTAGAGTGTTCGGGTTTCGCTTGAAGAAAAGGTGGCAACCCTACACACATCCCAGGGCGCTGTGGTACAGGGACATTTATTAGAGAGGTTTGGTTTAGCTTTTGGTAGGTAGGGAGAAGTTCTTCTTCATGTCAAAGAGCGGTAAGTGGGCAATTGGGAGGGTGAGTTTTATTTAAAAGCATGTTAAGGGGGTAAGAAGTGAGAGCTGGGAACTTTTTCTCTAAACATGCTCATCCATTCTGGGATTGTTGAGTACTGATCGTAATAAAAGTGCTGGCTTAAGCTTTTAGCAGGTTTTAGCAAGCTTCTAGCAATGCTTGTTAAAGCTTGCTAAAGCCTGTAAGATGCTTGTTTAAGGCTACAGCCAGCATTTCCAATAAAGTAATAGACCAAGCACTGTTGAGTGTGAAAATGCATAAGAGGTTTGTCAGCTTTTCTGCCTTATTTATTTTGATGCAATAAAAGGATTTATGCAAACCCCGAAACAGATTGCTTCTGTAGATGAGTCTCCTTTAGACTCTTGGGGCTCCATGCAAATACACCGCAATGTTTAGTCCGTGAGGGATACCTGTAAGGCTCAACAGCCCTTAATCAATTTTGAGAAGGTCTGTTTAGAGGTTCAGCAAGTTAGGCATGCACTTTCTGAATTGGTCAAAGCTCTCAAGTGTGCATGTGGTAGACCTCCACCACAGTTTCTTCAATGTTGGGGAGCAGACCTAGGGTTGCAATTGAATCTGTCTCAACGTGTACTTATTCCAGTCTTTGAATGGGTACCTGCAACATATTTACTAAAATGAACAGCCTATCTATTAAGCAGTATAAAGACTCCCTGCTGATACAGCTTATTAATGCTGCTAGGGCCTGCGTGCCATCAAAGTGGAAATCTACTGACTCACCTTCGTTAGGTATATGGTTCCATAGAACCATATTGTTGTGTTTGAGAAACTCACAGCATCCTTATATGATAGATATGATAAGTATATGGCAACCTGGTTTTCTGGGATCAAATTTATATTGTCCCAATTGTTTAATGATCTGTTAGGCACATAGAGGACAGTGGATTCTAGTCTGTGGTTCACATGATGGTGTCAGGGAAACTGGGCAGGAACCATTTCTGGAACCCAGTCTTTTTCTTTTCTTACGTTTCTTTCTTTGCCATATTTACTTACTTGCAAGTGATCTGTTCTTCTTTTTCCACTTTTTCTACCCTGTCCTTATTTCCTCTCTCTCTTTGCTTCTAGTTTATTTGCCTATTTATCTTGTCTCAATGTTATTCCCTGTTAAAAAATAGATCTAGTAGGGTGCACATGCATGGTGCTAAAATTTGTTTGTATTGGGAATATAATGCTTACAGAGAATCATTCTGGTGGGGCATTACCCCAGTCTTCTCTGCATGGTTGTCTGTTTTTGTAAAGACTTAGGTTGCGTGTAATCTCTCACATGGTATGTATGTATGTATGTATGTATGCATTTACTTCCTTGCTCTTCTTAACTACCTCCCGGCCAGCCGCTGTGTATACACGGCCGGCCGGGAGCT